GCTGGGTAAGAAGCCTTGCCTCAGCTGCCTACAATGGAGTTGGGTTCCTCTAGGGCAGGAGTTTTTCCCTGATTAGTCATAACAGCCTATGGGTATTAGATATCTGTTACATCTGAAGCTCACTCTTATGGCTGCTGGAAAGCCGGAGCTCTCTGACCCCCGTCCCCACATTCCAGAGCCTCCTGGTTGATGGGTATGTCCACTGCTTTCCTTATACTCAGGTCCCTGGCTGCAGTGAAAGGTGGTGGAGGTCTCTGCTCTCCTGCCAGACACTTGCTTCTTAGGAGGAGTTTTTCTGTAGCTCTGCCCCTTCCCCTGACTGGTTTTTTGGGGGGGTCCCTCTCTCTCCTGGATGTCTTTAGGATCTGCTGCTGACCTTCCTGTAGCTTTAGGGTGAAATTGACAAAGCTTTGTCAATTTTGTCCCTGTCCACAGGGTTCTGAATGGCACCAGAGTGAAAATGACCAGAGACTTAGCAGTTTCACTCTGCAGATCTGGTTTGGCAAAAGTAGGTGCAGGAGCAGGGGCACTAGAGTTGTCTGTTAGAAGACTCTGGAAGGTAGCTATGCATCAGTTCACATTTGGAATATTTTCTTCACAACCATAAGGGTTAGAAACTGCATGCCAGATCCTTGGTCCAGGTTAAGTCCCATTTGCATCACTGGGATGGTACAAAAGGAATTTATAGGTGATCTAAAGAAGTAGCTGAGGATTCCTCTGCCAAAAGGGAATCTCTTGTTGAAAGAAAGAAACTGCAAAAATGGATTGCTTAGCATCTCCTTGCCCCTATTAGCTGGGGAAGTTTTCCTACTTGACACAGGTGAATGGGTTTTTGAAACAGTGAATATGGACACTTTTCACTCCTATAATTAGCAAGCTGCAAATTGCTTTTCCCCCCTACACAGGTGACATTCCCCACTGGTGCAGAGGCCAGCACAAGACCTACTCTGTGCATCACTTACATTCCACTTATGCCTACAAAATAGGGCTCAATGTGGGGCATAAGTGGTGCATTGTCCTTGCAGTACCTCTTCCCCCCAATAGAGGAGTGAATTTCACTTACATGCAAAAAACTTTGTCCAAGCAATGCATAGGTATTTGCCATCAGATACAATACAAAAGAAAAGAAATAATGATTCCTGCTGATTCTTGTTAGTTTGAATTTTATGCAGCCATGAGAACAAACTAAGTAAAATAACTTAAAAGAAGAACAGGTTATTGTAAATGGAAGATAAATAAGGTATGAGAAATTCTCTTTTGTTCCTTCCCATCAAACATTTAAAGTGATTATAGGTTTCTCCAACAATGTGCTAAAAGTTTTAAAAATTGTGGGAAAACTAAAGCTTATCTTTACCCCTGAGAGGTTGAATGGAAAATAAGCATCCAGCTCAGATATATATTATTAAAGACGGTAAATATCAGCAGGGCAGAAGCATGACAAAATGAAAATGTACTTCACAGTTAGCTAGGACTGACACAAAGCCAGATTGACCAAACAGTCAAGCATACCCAGACACAGGGCCAAATTCTAAAATAGTGTAAATTGCTGAAGTTCAGTGAGCCAATGGAGCTCAGCTCAATGACATCAGGTGAGGTTCTAACTCAAACTTGGGAAACTACAACCTCTATCATCTCTTTCAAATTTCCCAACTCTATAGCTGCAAATTTGCAGTGCATTCTGGGTGCAAAGCCCAAAGGCTAAGACATTTTAGATATGTCGACACTGTCCCTGTAGGTGTAATTTGCAGCATGGGTAGACATACTGCACTAGCTCTGATTGGAGCTAGCATGCTACAAATAGTTTAGCTGCAGTGTCACAAGAAACAGGTAGGCTAGCTGCCCTAGCATGATCCCATCTGAAATCATAGGCATGTTCTCAGGGCGGCTAGCCAGTCTTGCCGCTGGCACTTCTATTTTTAGCATGCTACCTCAATCAGAGCTAGTGCAGGTATGTCTACATATGCTGGAAATTACACATACAGCTCAAGTATAGACTTACCCTTTGAATCATATATATATTCTATTGATCAAGATTTCTAAAAAACAGAGATATATGCAGGAACAAGAGAGCTGGGCAGAGAACAAGTGGGCTCAGTTTAAAAGGCAACAATCAGGACTTCAGAACTATTCATGAAAAGTGCACATACTCCAAATTATGCACCCAGCTCTTCTCACAAAGCATTCACCTCTAAGACTTACAGCATTTGTGTTTTCTGTATGCACAATGTTCAGTTTGCATGCACTTACTAAATCAAAACCACTTTTTCTGCAAAGCTTCTAGTCCCCAATTAAAGCAATTTACATGCCAGGTTTCAACTTCAGCCATCTTTTTCATATCCCTGCTCCATAGCCCCTTCCTCCCCAAAAAGCATTAGGGTTTCTTTTAAAAAAATAAAGTGATTTCTTTCATAAAAAAACATAAGAATGGCCATGCTTGGTCAGTCCAAGCTGAAAAGTCCCAGTCTTATTAATCTCTCCTCATATGGAACCTGTTCCATACTCCTGATAATTTTTGTTTCCCTTTTCTGAACCTTTTCCAATTCCAATATACCTTTTTTGAGATGGGACACCCCACCTAACTCAAAAAGAAAGGGCCCAAACTTTCCAGAAGCATTCACTTTTGGACAGAGACTGAAGAGGGGAAGTTAGCTGAAAAGGTGAATTTTTCAGAAAATTATGGATGTGTGCAAACAGGAGTTTACAATGGACATCTTAATTACAAGCATAGCTGTAGTATGCACTATATTAGCACATCAGAACTTCCTTTAGATAAGGGAGCTCCCATGCAGATTAGTGAGGTTTATGGATTGCCAGATGCAGGAATGGGGTCAATGCCAGTGACGTCACAGTGCTCACACATTTCTCAAGACTCGGCTACTTAAGTTCCATTGTTGACACTGATGATGCTTCTATTATCTTGTCCTGGATGTTACTACAAAGAAGGAGGCTTTACTGAAGTGTGAATTAGATAGATCCTCTTGTAGGTGTAATTCATTGCCCCACGTTCTTGATTTTTTTTAAAATCCACACAAAATGATATTCTTAAATCCAGCAGGTCTGCTTGTTTACACTAATATAAATTAAGCCAAATTGGCTGGTAATGGAACAGAAAACATTAATATATTCTTTTCAAAGGAGCACTCAAACAAATCTTTTCTAGTATGTTGAACAGAGGTTCTCTACAGAGACAAATACAGCAAATAAGGTTGGAGAGCTACAATAATTCACTCTTAATAAGACCTGTAGTCAACACTGTGTCTAAATCTCACACTTACGCCTTCAAGATGGTGTTCAGTTTTAAGATAAGAAAACCATTGTAAGATGGCAAGATAGTTTTCTCATTGGTTATAGTACTGGAGAAATACAGAAAGGTGCAGCTGTTTAACCTTTCAACACCACAGGATAAGAGTAATCTTCTGTGTGTATAGATATTATTGTAATACAGCTCTGTATCATCAGCAAAACACCTCGGAGTTCTGTGATCTCTGAGCTAATAGAAGTAGGTTGGTTATGGTTATACATAATACTTTAAAGATCAAAAATTCTCTTGTGGAGGTCAAATCATTTTAAACAAATAATTAAAAGTCAATATTTTTTCACTCTAGGCAAGGATATCTTAAGGTATATACAGTATGTTCAATATTTCTGTGCCCCATTTGACATTGACAAGACACACAAAGAGACTATTTTCCCCTTCAATTACCTTTTGAGAGTCGAAAGTTATGTCAGTGCAAAACACTGCCATACCTGAACAAATGTGGCTTAGGAAAGTGTTTCCTATTCAAGAAAAAATATGCTAGGTGATTACTTCATCAACAATATATATTTTTCCTGGCTGGAAATATTGGGAATAGCCTCACAACTATGACACATTAGAAACAAGAATATATCATTTAGGGTAAGAATGTGGGGGGGGGGGACCTCTAGATTGTTTAACTACAGATTTTGGATAATGCATTAAAAAGTTCACAAAGTTAAAAAAGAATAATTCCATACAGAGGGTGTAAAACCAGAAAGAGGTCTGGTCTTTCTGGATATGTGTTATGTTACTTATAGAACTGAATTACATGGAGGGGGAAAAATCAAGCTTCTCCACTCATTTGTACCTTAGTTTAAATCAGACGCGGGGCTATCTACTCTCTCTCCCTCTTCCTTAAGAGGTTATTATACATAAAAAGACAGATCAGTGTTGCAACCATGAAACATTTTAACCTAGTTCTAGCTTCTTCCTTCCCATTAACTAAGCCACACATATACATAGATGTTGGCTATACTCAGAATGCCCTTCATTCCGGTCCAGTAAGCAGAAGTACTGTGGAACTAATATGCAAACATCCAACCTAATTACTGTTACGTAGAAGATCTGGAATCTAACTTTTTGGGGTGAGGGAGGAAGGAGGGTCTTCAATTTCCTTCCCCCTGGCTAAGGGAGCATTTCTTTATCTAAGACAATGACAAAAGAATTTTCTTAGCCAGTTCAAGTAAGAGAAAGACTATCTATCTTGGCCCCCATTACTGCATCTTTATGTACTTAACCTCACAACACACCCCTAGAAGGTAGGGCAGTAGTATCTTCCCTGTTTTACAAATGGGGAACTAAAACACAGAGTGTATGCAACTTGCCCAACGTTACATAGGAAGCCTGTGCTGGAGCACAGAGAATTGCACCACAGTCTCCCAAGCCCCAGGCTAGGGCCCTAATCATGGGACCATCCTTCCTCTCTCTTTCATTAGGTTATGCCATGTTTACTGCATACATGGCATATACATGTGACCATTCCACATTTCTGTGCATGAACATCACAGTTAGTCAGTACTGGGAAAGACAGCTGCTTATTTATGAAGCTACCGCAGCTAGCAAATGAAGTAGGAAGAGAGCCTAAGACATAAGCCCTTGTAAGTCTGGTATAAGCCAGAACCTGTTCACACAATCTGGCAAGAACAGGGCTGATATTGCAGAAATACACATTCCTAAAAAGTGCTAAGCACAAAGTACTTACGCAAACACATCCCGATATCAAGTGGTACCAGAACATTCCCCAAGGAAAAGAGAAACACACTGACCCCACCTAAAAGATAAGGTCAGAATAACAGTACACAATAAAAATGTTTTAATCAAACGAACATGTACAAAGTAATAAGTAGCCATGTCAGGGGGCAGTAACTATGTCAAAGGCAATACTAACTTGTTTGTATCAGGATATAAAGATGTATCTCAGAGGGAGTATCTTTGTCCAGCAGAGGAGGGAATGGAGAGCCTAAGACAGCAACCAGTGGGTGGACAAAAATGTTTAAACTAAACTAATCATCCCTCTTGCCTTCTTTGTTCTTATGTTGGAATAAACACAGTGACAGAATTTGCCATCTGGAGCAGTGGGAAGAATGCGATCCCTTCCAAGTACAGGCCAGTTTGATGAGCCACTGCCCCATGAGGTCAGCAAAGAATATTATTATTTTTTCTTTGGAAATACTGTTGCATTAATTTGGATCAGTGGTTCTCAACCAGGGGTACTCAGAGGCCTTCCTGGGGGGTACGTCAACTCATTTAGATATTTGCCTAGTTTTACAACAGGCTGCATAAAAATATACACTGAAATGTAAGTACAATATTTATATTCCAATTGATTTATTTTATAATCATATGGTAAAAATGAGAAAGTAAGCAATTTTTCAGTGATAGTGTGCGGTCACGTTTTTGTGTTTTTATGTCTGATTTTGTAAGTTTTTAAGTGAGGAAACTTGGGGGTACACAAGACAAATGAGGCTCTTGAAAGGGGCACAGTAGTCTGGAAAGGTTGAGAGCCACTGATTTAGACAGAATAAATGGGCAAAAGGTTTTAGCATAACCCAGTCACTGTGCAACATTAAACAGTGGTAACCAAGGTTTGGTAAACAGAGATCTCAGCCTCTTTGGTACCATGGTGCAAACATTCTAAAAATCCTTTAAACCCTTTATTCAAGATACAGAAAAAAAGAAAAACCAGGTAAAACATTTGAAATGTAAAGTATTAAGTACAGCTTTCATTTTAACAACATCCCTTGTTTCCTTTCCATTTAGCTGGCGAGAGTTCTAGGAGCAAAAATCCCTTTGTTTGACAGTGTCTTAGATGGTAATTACTTCTCTTTTATCCAAAAGGACGATTATGAGTTTACATGGCTGGAGCTGTTGTTCAACTCCAATCCCATTTCATCTCAGGTGGTGTTTTGGATTGATCTGGAGCTGATAAAGATGGCAATATCATCTGACTCCCTCTCTCTGACCCAGTTTAGTCAAGACATCTCAGGATCTGGATTATAAAGAAACAGTGGGGGTGCAAATCATGATGGTGAAGCTTGATCCAGTAGCTTCTGCTGTTCTTCCTTTCTTGTCCTCCCAAAGTCTCTTCTTTAAGAACCCACAAAGGAAGTGATGCATAGAATAGTCCATCCCCTCATTATTTTGTCCACCAATTTGGCCTAATATCCAGCACATCAATTTTGGTTCATTGGTTTCTGATTCCACATCTTCTATTTTTACCAAGCATGATTTCAACATAGTCCTTGAATTATAGCAATGTGGCCTTTTTTCCCCCAAGACTAATTTAGTCTCTCTGGTTCTCTTGCACCCATTTATAACATTCATTACTGAAAGCAACTTGACCCACTTTTCATCAACATCTGTTATTATAGGTTGTTGTAACATCTTATGAACGTTCATATACCTTTTTACAATTAAGGTAAATTTGTAGGCCCAGTTATGACACCACTAAAGGTACATCTACACTGCATGCTTCTTTCAATGGCATGTAGAGTAGATATGTACCTAGCACCCCTAGCACGGGTAAAATAAGTAAAGACACAAGCACCTACCCTAGATGGCACTATACTCTCCTAAGCTATGCCTCCCTGTCTACATGCTATTTTTATCAATGTAGTGTTCTGCTCCTGGAGTCTCACCCTGCCTCAGGAAGAGACTCCAACAGTGGGGAAAGGCTCCGGCGCGGGGGGGGGGGGGCAGTAGCAAAAGGCTTTGGCAGCTCTCTGATGCCAGAGCCTTCCCCACCACAGGAAAAGACTCTAGCAGCAGGGACGCAATGGGGAAAGACTCTGTCAGTTCCCCACTGCTGGAGTCTTTCCCCGCATCAGGGAAAGACTCTGGCAGCAGGGAAAGGATTCCCCGCTGCCTCTTCCCTGCCAGAGCCTTTCTTCACCACGGTGAAAGGCTCAGGCAGCAGGGAGCTGCTGAAATCTTTCCCCACTGCCTCCCAGCTGCCAGAGTGTTTGACGTGGTGAAGAAAGGCTCTGGCAGGGAAGAGGCAGCTGGGAATCCTTTCTACATACTGCAGTGTGGACGTGGCCTGCTTTGCACTGCACCATGTAACCACATGTATACTACATGCCGCTTACACTGGGGTGGTGACAGCCCACTGACCAGATTTCATGGTGGTCTGAGGGCTTCTGCAAGTTGGCTTGGCAAGCTCCACATTCTATAAGAAGTGTAAGACGTAGCCTACTTTAAATTATGATTGCTTAGGAATGAAAACAACAAATATTTTAATTTTTTTCTTAAAATACATGACATTTTTCACAAAAAGTTAAAACTATATCAGTCTTTCACCAAAAATATCATTTTAAAATGTTTTGACAAAAAAAATGTTTTGTTTCAAAAATTTCAACCCACTCTAGCGTTGATGTTTGAACTGGACTTATTGGTACTCTGCTGATTCATCAAATTAGATTAATTCATGGAGGATAGGTCCACCAATGTATATTAGACAAGATGGTCAGGGACAAACCCCATGCTCTGGGTGTCCCTAAACCTCTGACTGCCAGAAGCTGGGACTAGACGACGGGATGGATCATTCAATAATTGCCCTGTTCTGTCGATTCCCTCTGAAGCATCTCGCACTGGCCACCGTTAGAAGACAGGATACTGGGCTACCCGGACCATTGGTCATACCCAATATGGCTATTCTGACAGTATCTACATGTCCCACTGAGATGTACATGTGAGTCTGGTGAACGTTTGCCCTGATGGTAAAGACCATTGCCCTGAGTAGCACTGGTATGAAAACTATTTTTTTCCTGAAAAAAAAAAAAATCACTGAAAATGACTTTAATTTTCACCATTTTTTCCAGGTTTTCACTGAAAAAAAAACAACAAACAAACTGTAAAAATCCAGCTTTTTTTAATAAAATTTCAAAAGTTTTCAACAAAAACTGCATTTTGTCAGAAGATTTCCATTTCATTGGAAAGTGCATTTTCCATCAAAAACAATTTAAAAAAAAACACTGAGGGAAAATTTTTGACCTGCTCTATCCCCGAGTTCCACTTTGTTGATATTGAAGCAGTAATCCCAGGGAGACCATTTTCTTTGTTCTGAATGTGCGCATGTGTCAGAATCCCAAACATACAGTCAGGACCAAGGTTCAGAGTAGGGGCAAACCTGAGATGGGAAGTAGCAGAGGAGTTCGTAGTTAGGTTCCAGGCCAGGGTAGACACCAAGGGTGAGAGTCCGAATCAGAAGGTGAAGTCCAAATCAAGCCAAGGTCAAAGCCAAGAGTTCAGGATTTGAGCAAGGAATGGCTGTCGCAGCTATTGGAAATCCACACTACTGCCTGGACGCTTCCTGGAACACCCCTTAAGTTTACATAGAGTGGGGAGCCAATCAGGAGTCATAGGACTTCTGCCTGTAGACCCCTTGAGGTGGGACTTCCCGTAGTCTGTGTCAATAGTAGGTCATGGGCAGTGGAGCGCAAGCGGATTACAGCTGCTGCTAGGTGACAGAGATACCAGCTGTTTGGCAGCTGTGCAAGTCTGGGTTCTAGACCTGCAGGGCATTACAACACGTGTGGCTTGCCAGACTTCTATCACCCAACAACAAGTACAAGATCAACTGTGAAATATTCAGTAGCCTCACTGATGGCAGAACATGGCGCTTGGAAAGCTGCTAAGTAGTTGTCAAAAAGAAAGGGAAAATATGCAGAAGGGTAATCTATTTCAGAAACTATTCAGTTTAGTCTTTGCTTCAAAACACTTTGTGAGGGTTGGCTGGCTCACAGGAAAGATAAAAAGATTTTGAAATTTCTAGGTCATAGGTTTGAATTTTTCCCAACACAGAAGTAACCAAAAAAGTGTATTATCTGATGACTGTTAGCTGTACGGGACATGCGTTGGTGGTGAGCCTGCCTCTTAAGGGCTTCTGTGAGATGGTGTAAACTTTTCAGAAGCTTTTCAGAACCTATATCACAGAACTCACTGACATGCTTGATTGGCAGCAGCCTCAGCAAAGAAGTCAAGAACTAAATAGACATGGAAAAAAAACCTGCTCTGTCATCTATATAGGTGTGCCTTCCTCCAGAGCTAGCTGAAAGTAAAGTGGCAAGACAGTGCGTGGGAGCCTGAATGGCTCCTGTCATTAATTAACCTGTTTGCTTGAATGAATGAAGGACTTTAGCTTCCAGTAGTGTTGATCTGGCACTTTTCACAAACAATACAGTCTATGGATATAGAGATATAGATTTTAGTAAGTGCGAAATGCCCATTCTTGCCTAAATCTTCCCCAGATTAAATTATACCTTTAAACTTGACTACAGCTATTTTTGTAATCATGAGATCAGCTGAAGTCTGGACAAAGGGAGAGTGTTTTCTAATGAAAGCTGTCAGCATGAGTTGACACTAGACAATACAGACAACGCACAGCCCTGAAAGCAAGAATTACTCAGAAACTCCATGATGCTCAGTAGAACACTTGCCTCTAAGCAGAAACAAAATAACCTCAAAATTAAATAACTAGAAGCAGAAAAGAATAGCATATGAATTCCTGCTCCACTGACCTGACTTACACTGCTTGAATTCATGGCTGACATTAGCAGGGTACTGTTATGAGAGAGAATTCCTTTGAAGCCCCTCACTACAAATGGGCACTGCAGTAAAATGATCTGGTGAAAAGTAACAGAAAAACAGAGCCACGGATGGGAAGAGAACAAGAAAAGGGGAACAAGTAAAGTAACCATAGAGGAAAGAGGCAATAAAAAAGTTCTCTTAAAGCTTTGTTCTTCTAAAACTTTAGACGTAATATTACTAAGA